AGGGTGGTTGGCACTGCCCAGGCTCCCCAGGGCAGTGGGCACAGCCCCAAGGCTGCCAGAGCTCCAGGAGGGTTTGGACAATGCTCTGAGGGACAGGGTGGGATTGTTGGGGTGTCTGTGCAGGGCCAGGGGTTGGACTGGATGATCGTGGTGGATCCCTTGCATCTCAGGGTATTCCATGACTCTGAGTGGCTTTAGGTTCCTCCTGAGTGAGAGTTCCCTCTCTGGAGCACGTGAGGGGCTTGTTTGAGCTTCCTTTAACAAGGGACTTTTCAGGGCCTGATGAGGATGGACATGTTATGGTTGGCCTTGATGATCTTAGAGGTCTTTTCCCACCATAAGGATTCCATGATTCCATAGGATTCCCAGTGCAGTGGGCACAAACCCCAGTCCCAGTCTGGTGTACTCTGTTCTGGGGCAGTGTAGCCCTTCCCAGCCTGGCTTCCCTGAGCTCCTGTCCCTGGAGAAGAGGCTGTATTTGTGGAGAGGAGTCTGTATTTGTGGAGAGGAGGGTGTATTTCTGGACAGGAGGCTGTATTTGTGGAGAGGAGGTGTACTTGTGGAGAGGAGGTGTATTTGTGGAGAGGAGGTGTATTTGTGGAGAAGAGGCTGTATTTCTGGAGCAGAGGCTGTATTTCTGGAGAAGAGGCTGTATTTGTGGAGAGGAGGTGTATTAGTGGAGCAGAGGCTGTATTTGTGGACAGGAGGCTGTATTTGTGGAGCAGAGGCTGTATTTGTGGAGAAGAGGCTGTATTTCTGGAGCAGAGGCTGTATTTGTGGAGCAGAGGCTGTATTTCTGGAGCAGAGGCTGTATTTGTGCCCGTCCCTGTGCCTGGGGAGGTGCCAGCTCAGCCAAGCACTGCCAGTTGTGCTCCCGGAGGGGCAAAGGCCCTTGGAATGAGCTGGATCCCGGGTGATACGTTTTGCTGGAAAGGACAAGGAAGTCTCTTGGCCCCCCTCCAGCTTTGTTATGAGCAGTGGAGTTGCAGCAGGGCTGACTTTGGCCCCTGGCACTCTGGTGACATAGTTCAGGGCTGTACAACCCTGGGCAGGGCGTGGGCTGAGATCAGCTCGTGCTCCTGGAGTGCACTGAGGGCTCTGCCAGGGAAACCTGGCGGCTCTGCCAGCTCCTCTACATATGAATGAGTCTCCGAGGGCTTTGCAAGGAGCTTGACACATGGATAACCACATAATTAAAGGCTGGAGCCTTGCAGAAGAGCGTTAGAGCTGGTATCTGTAACCACAGAGAGCAGAACTTGAGTCATCCAATGCCAGGGGATGAATTTCCTAGAGGATTGCTCCATCAGGTTGCTGAGTTATTGGGCCTGGATCCAGTGGGATGCCACAGCAGACAGGAACCAGGAGGGGAAGGAACCTGCTTGTCTGAGCCAGAAGTCCTGTTAGCTTGGAGGACCCAGGCTTGTAAAAACAGCTCTGTAAAACCAGGACTAAGCCAAAGGTGAAGTGAGGGCTGAGTCACTCTGCCAAGGTGAGGCAGTAAGAGTGTGCCTGGAGGTTTCCATCTTAGGCTCAGAGTGCACTGAACAGCAACACTTAGCTTTCTAGGCCCAAATTATTCTCAATTAATTAAAGATACTGTCCTAGAATTTCTCAGGTAATTAAAGACACTGCCCCAGAATAAAACCCATCTCAGGCTGCTGAGTTTGAAGGAGACCAGAGCCAGCATGTCCCAAGGTGCAGTGCAAATCCAACATGCCCAAGGTGTGAGAGCATGGCTGGAGCAGAGCTTCTGCTTTCCTCCCATTCCTAGCATCAGTCTCTCCTTTGTGTGCCCAAGGCTTTGTGCCCAAAGCTTGTCTCCCCTTTATCAGGCTGTATTCCTCTCCTAACTGCATCCTCTGTGTTACCAGTGGAGATATGGAGGAGGGAAGTGGGGCAGAGGACAGTGATTCACTGCTGGGGCGTCTGGCTGAGTCAGAGACTGAGCTAAATCAGCTCAGCCTGGGGCTCCTGGGCCATTCCTGACACATTGCCCCCACAACCAGCGGGGACCTCTCTTCCCAAGTTGCTCTTCCCAAGTTCTCCTGCCCGTGTTTTTCCGCCCCAGGCACGCTCTGAGATGGACAAGTACCTTTCCAGCGAGGTGCCCCCCATGCCGATGCTGCCGGACAAGAAGTACCGTCGGGAGAGCGCCTCGGTGGTGGACGAGTTCTTCTCCACGGAGAAGCCCAGCTCCACCCCCTACAGCGTCAACATCAACGTCATCCTGCCGGACACGACCCACCTGCGCACGGGGCTCTACCGGCCCCCCAAGCCCATGGCACCCTTCCCACAGATCAAAACCGAGCCCGGCACCGGCTTCGCCCAGCCCTGCTCGTCGGCGCCCGGCCCCACGCAGACCCTGCCCGACTTCACCAGCGTGTTCAGCATGCCCCAGTCGGTGGCGGTCAACAACATCTTCATCAAGCAGGAGATGCCCTCGGAGGTGCCCTTGTCTGCCCCCCCCCAGCCCTCCCAGCTCTACCA